GCTCTCTCCTCTTTTCTTCTTACCCTGCCTCTGCAGTTTCAGTCCTTTCCCAGAGCTAGACTGCATCTGGGGACTGAATACAAGTGAACCAATTGAAACTGAATCCAAACAAGACAAAGGTGATGGTGATGGCCAGACAACTTGACTTGCAGGGGCTGGGGCACCTAGCACTGATGGGATTCAGGCTTCTCTTGTCCCTCAAGTTCATAGCATTCGGGTGCTGCTGGATCCTCTGCTGCACTTGGATCTTCAGTTGGCAGCTGTGGCTAGGAGCACCTTTCACTAGCTTTCTACTAAGAGGGCTGCAATCTTTTCTTTCAGAACCTGATCTGGCCACTATCATCCATGCCTTCATAACCTCAAGACTAGACTACTATAATGTGCTATACTTGGGGCTGCCCTTGAAAAAGGGCCAGAGGCTACAGTTAGTACATACCATGGCATCTGACCTTCTGAAGGGGGTAGGTCACCAGGAGCACATAACTCCAGTCTTCCAGCATCTGCATGGGCTCTCAGTAGCGTTTTAGGCACAATTTTAAGTGCTGGTTTTGACCTATAAGGCCCTAAATGTCTTATTTTATTTATTCTATTTTCCCTCTTAAGTTGGTCTGCTTCTCCTGCTCTAAGATGCCCTGAGCCTTTGTTCAGAAGGGTGGCATACAAATCATATAAATAAAAATAAATAAAGGTGGAGTGAGGGCAAGTTGGCAGGATATGTTTCATGGCAGCATCTCTGGCATGGTCCAGTAATGTTGGCATGCTCAAAACTGACTAGATAGATACGCGATAGCAGGGGAAACAGTGGCGCAAAGACTTGAAGTGTTTTGTCCAAGACCATTTCATGCAGCAAGTTAGAGAGAACTGAAGTTCCCTATGTTCAATCTAGTGCTCCACTCACTAGATTGTTTTTCCTCCCAAATGCTCCCTTTCATTTGTCACTTACAGTACTACTATTAGCCTTGTTCCAAGGCTATGAATAAAATTAGACAGTTGGGATACATTTTTAGTAGCTTGTGATATGTATAAACATTGAAAGGGACCTAAAAGGATGGCTTGGTCTTGACACCCCTTTAGGGGTTCAAATGTCCTACTAAGTTCTGCTATACTCCATGGGCTTTGCACCTTCTCACTTCCATAAAGTAGATTATGCATATTTCTGGGAAAACAGAGTTTAATCCATTGTAAAAGAAGGTCATTTTCAGACTTTTCAGACTTTTATATAACCTACTTCCTATTACTTCATCATGAATTTTTGACAATTCATGACAAAATAACTCTTTGAAATTGATCAAAGTTCATTTTAACAGCTGTACAGAGTCATGAATTATTAATGATCAGCAAGTAAGCTTGGCAAGATAAGATCAGAGAGAAGATGTATAGGGTTGCTTCTCTATGTGTCATCACCAAGATCAGAAAATTACACCATAGAGAGGCTCTGCTTTATAGACCACCTGCTAATTTCTGTAATGGCCCAGTCAAGCAAGGTGCTAAACTCCCTCACTGGTAGAAGCTGATGGTGCTCAGTAGCTCAAACCCTGACAGAATCACATACCCCAGAGGTAGCAATTAGAAGTTTCATATGTTTGGAGAAATGTTACCAGTTCTGACAGTTGGCCCATTTTAATTAGAGGGAACCACAATTTCTCTTTTTTTCTCAAGCCCATAAAGTCTTTCAAAATGAAAAGAAACATTTTACTTGCAGCCATTGAATCTAGTTACATAATATTTTTTAAATCTCAAGACATTCTAAATAAATTACATTTTATACAAGGCTCCATTTGGAGGCACACATGTATATATTGTATAAAGTCTTCCCACATCTTCTGACAATTTCTGCTCTGGAATCTAAGCTAAAGCAAAAAACATAAGATATAAATCTTGCAGGATTATTAAACCCCTCCCCCTGTGCAAAAAAAAAAAAAGCACCTCAAATTATGAACCAAACTTAATTTCCAACACAAACATACACACACACACCTGCACAGGTGTCCCCAAACAAGACTTTATCCCTAGAGTGCTCATACAGCAGTCTGCAGCTGCCCCCAAGTCTGAGTCCAGCTCCTTCAGTCCAGTCCTGGCTCATTGAGCCAGTGAGATCTCCAACTCCACTGCGTACTCCTCTGTGTGGGGCTGACCAGGGTCCATGTGAATGCGGCTCTCTCTTCCCCTTTTTCTAGCCTCAAACGTCCTCTTCCTTTTCCCCTTGCCCCCCAGCCTTTGAAGTTTCCTCAGAGTTTCAGTCCAAATTAACAGGCATCTGCAGACTGCCCCCTGGTTTCACCTGCTGTTACACACATTACATTCACATTACGCTTGTCTCCCAAAGTATTACACTGTCATGTCTTTGCTCATTAGTTTTAAAGTCTTTCTTCAGCTGGGATAGTAGAAAAAACATATCTCTTCAGTCATCCCATTGCAATTCTAGTCCTTCTCAGCGGGGCATATACATTTCCTGTTTCTTGCTTGAGGATTTAGATATACAACTTCAGATAGTCTTAATGAGAGTAACATTCCTAATCCCCACACACAATGCACTGAAAATGTACCCAGAATATAAAAAGGGAGACTGGAATCTCAGCTTTAAGCATCTTTGTCTTTTTCTTTTCTCTCTACATTATTTGCATCTGCATATGTTTGCTTAATTAATTGACATCTATTTTGAGGACATTTTTCTTCATTTTCTGAGCCTGTGTCTGGTTTTTGTTGGGAGTGGCCAGGCTTGAGTGCATCTTTTCAACTAATAGGCTAATTCTTGAGGGGGTTAGGAGAAGAGATTTACCAAATTGGTCCTGTTATTAACCTGATTGCTTTAAAGCTTAGACAACAACAAGGTATTCATTTCCCAGTTTGATTTAATTAGGAAACTCCACCATGAGTCAAATGAGCATGGAGAATAGGCTTTTTTTATGATATTTAAATTGTTATATTTCAACAACTACTGAGGAAAACACCTCTCTGCAGAGCCTACATGAAGTAGTATTTGACTAAGCAGTCTTCACTTTTTCCTACCTTCTTTCCAGATGGTTTTTTGTTTACCTTTGGTGCTTTTTAAAAAATTAAATCAAACCCCATTCCTTTTCATACTCGCTCTCTTCCCCTTTGAACTTTATAAAGGAACCCTAGGATCTCAGCAATATGCCAATGGTAACACATTTCTGATTTTTATGACAACCCTCTTGTTCCATTTGTCTCCAGCACCCTCTGCTTGTGTGTATGCATGCTCATACATGCTCCCAGCAAAGACTGGCAAAGAAACAAAATCTAATGTGTTTGAGAGAAAGGAACACAATGTAAAACCAGAAACTGTTTCTGTTTATGGAATATGCATAGAAACCCAAAGGGTGAACTCTGTTCCTCAGGGATGCTCTAACTTATACTCTGAACATTATATTGCAGCAGGTCCCTTCCCTCCCTATCAGATCTTCAGGTCTTGGGTCAGTCTCCTGCTGTAGACCATTTGCAAGCAATGTATGGAAATCAGTAAACTGGAAACTGCTGGATGCATGACCATGCAATTGCCCCAGTGTCAGCGGACAGTAAATCTCATCCAACTATTCCATTTTGTATCCTTGTCTCTCTGTGATGTTGCTTTGTTTCTATGAGGCTCTTGTTTGGAATTCCTTTGTTGACTTGCAGCATCCCATCTCTTCTTTTTGAATTCTCTCCCAAAAACATACTTGTTCAGCCATGAGATCCATGCTGGTATTCTATACAGTGTTTTCATATACACATTGCTTGTCTTGAATTATAAGACCCTTGGATCACCCTTCATATTCTGTAAAGGCAGAACATATTGTTAGTATTCTATAAATCAAATATTTGACTATCTGCTACTGCTGCTGCTACAACCAGTAGCTGCTACTGCAGGGGTTATGCTATGATCTTTTGGAAAAAGCCGTTTATAAGTTGAAGGGGAAACTACACGTTATGCAAGTTAAATCCTTTGTTACTAGTTCCTTCTGCAGCTCTGCATGGGGATACAACATAGCATTATTTCTTTAATGCCTGTATTTCTACAGCTTGGTATTATGAGGTCATGCTGGAACGATTAACACTCTGGGTCTCAAATCCCTCACTTCTTTAGTTTTCTCAACCATCTTGGACTTCATTGTTAGGGATTCTGGTTTTTTCTGATAAAAAAAAAATTCCCCAATTTTCAGATTAGAAAAAGTAACCCCAAATCCTCATTATTTCTTGATCAAAATGAAACACCACTATATTTATATCTATATATTAGTGGTGTTTCATTTTAATCACAGAAAAATGTGGATTTTAGGTTCATTTTCTTTAATCCAAAAATTGGGGATTTCTTTTATCAGAGAAAACCAGGATCCCTGCATAGCCACAACTACAGTCTTGTCCTTACTATGGCACACTATTCAACCACTGTATTGACCACTTGTTGCCAAACTAGCACTGCCTTGGTGGCACAAACAGCAATTATGTTTTGGATTCACCTTACATTGACCCATCCCAAAAGTCCTGTGTGATTTAGATTGATACAGTACCTTTTATGGAAAGCAGCTTTTGTGATACTTTTTTTTTCTTAATTAAAATGTTCCTTACGATTCATAGATAACACAGCATTCCAAACAATTCTTACAACAGTGGTACAAAAGCATTGGTATTTGTACTGGTTATAGATATTTACATTCATAATTGCATGCAGTTTTATCAGAAATAAGGAAGACATGACAAAAAGTCAGTTTAGGGAACAGGGAAGTGAAGAAGCTGATGATTCTGAACTTCTCTTCAGTAGCAGTGGCAAAAAAATATCCATGTTACAACGGTGTACAGATATACTAATACATTTTATTTAAATAAATAATAATAATTAATATTGAAGAACAAATTATTAATTTACTGAAATAATACATCTGAAGTAGCTAAGTACATTTAAAAAACCTCTGGAAAAAACATTTTTTATCAGCCTTCATTGTCAGATGGGTTTTTTATTTGCCACATATCTTTTGCATTTTATTTTATTTTATTTTTTACAGGAACACAAACCTGCTCTGGAAGCAACAGGAAACAGTGCAATAGAGATATGTTTAGTGCAACTGCTCCTGCTTCTCTTCTAGAACGAGCACCCATGAAAGAATTCACAGCTGATGCCAGCGGTTCTTTGAAAGTGAGAGCTCCATCCAGAGCTACCTCTAAGTCCAAAGAGATTCAAGCACAGTGGTTTCTAAAACCAAAGATCCCTGTATTTAATTGTGTGTCTGATATAAAGGCTTTACCAAAACCTGTTCTAGAAGAAAATGATCTCCACAGGAAAAATCAATTCTCCAAAGGTAAGCTGCAAATCCTGCCTTGGCTATTTGGAATATGCTTTAAATGGTGAAATGAGATCAGAGTCAAAGATACGTCTGAAATAATGTAAAACTACCATAATCTATGTTTGTCCCCTTTTTGATGGTCATTTAGAGAGAAGTCATTTCACATAATCAATTTGTATATATTCATTGTTGTGGTCTAGGAACACCAGAAACAAAAAATAAAATTGGGCTTTTGATACACACATACATTTCTTTGCCACGAAGCCTGCCAGCTGTCAAGGAGATAGGTGCAGGGGGGTTCTGGGGCCCTGCACCCCTAGCTGCTGACAGGCAAAACTTGTGACATGGGTGGGTGACACTGTGTGTGTGTTAAGGTAAGCCCTCACTCAACTGACACCAAGGCAGAAAGCAGAGCAGTTCAAACAATGCTGCCTTTTATGCAGTTTTTCCATCCCTCCCCCTGAGCACTGGGATTGGAAGGGGCCTTAGGAAAGGATGGCAGTCACTGGCCTGCTACACAGTCAATAATGATAGAACTCCTTCCCCCCTTTCCCCCTCTCTCTTCTTACTTTAGTTTCTGTTTCCCTGCAGTCAAGCCCATCTTCAGCTTTGAAACTTGAAACGTTGCAAAAATTTCGAAACATTTTGACTCGCCTCATTTCGTTTCGAGGCTGTTTTGAAGCTCTCTGTTTCATTTTGATTTTGCTGTTTCAAGCTCAAAATGAGTCAAAATAGCATTGAAATGAAACTGCCGGTGAAATTTCGCTGGCCGTTTCGTTCATAGGCTAGGGATGGGAAGTCAATCCAGCTTAGCCTCTCCTCATAGGGCCTGCCTTGCTGCCCCTGGATCATGCAAGCTGTGCCCTAGCACGCAGGCATGGGGATCCCTGGCTGGGTGTGCAGGTGCCATGGTTGAGGTCCATAGGCCTGTATCCAAGCTTGGGGACACAGAGGTTTCTGGCCAGGTGTGTGGTACTAGCTTTGGGGTCCTTGGGCCTGTGCCTGTCCAGGGGTTTCTCCTGGGCTCAGTGTTGGAGTCTGCATGTACATTGTGGGCTGCTTCATGACAGGGTGTTGGGGGTGCGGGGACATGGCCCAGGGACTCCAGTCCCAGGGTTCATGCAAGGGACACAGACACTTCCCTTCCCCTTGTTGCCTGCCTCTGGCTGACAGATAGTTGGAGGAAGGAGGCAAGGCTGGGGAGAGAAGCTGTGCTTACTTGGCACTGGGAGAGCCTGGGGGCAGGGGCTGTTGGGTACTTGGCTGAAGCAGCTGAGCACAGGCTAAGTGCTAGCAAGCCTCCCTACAAAGGAGGGATAGGGGATGCAAGGCAGGCTGGGATGCTGGGGAACAGCAATCTAATTTGAATTAGTAGGAAAACAGTACACAAGTTCAATGCCTCAGTCTAACCTAAAATGAGCTGAATTGAGTGTACTTCACACCAGGTCTCTCTCAGACCAGTGGTGCTCAACTTTTTTCCCCACTGGGTTGGATGGACAGTGCCTGGTCTGAATGGTGGTTCTGATCTGGTGCCCAGGGCTGGCATGGTGGCCACCATCTGGCTATGTGGAGGGAAGCAGGGGGCAACCCAGCCTGAGCCCAGCCCCGCAGTGGGGAAAGGAGGCTTCACCTGGCCTTGGGAGGATGGGAGGGACATGGCCCAGCCCCATGGGGGTGAAGGGGCTTTAACCTATTCCCACAGGTGAAAAGGAGGTATGGCCCAGGTCAAATCCTGTCCATGAGGAAAAAGGGCTTGGCTTGGTCCTGCAGGGGAAGGGGGCATGGCCCAGGCCTAACCCAGTCCCCAGGGAAAGCGGTTTGGGAATTTGGCAAAGGGGAGGGTGGCTGTATTAATGGCTACTGGTCCTCTTCCGCCAGATTTTCAGACCCATGGGGATCCCCACAGGCCAGATGCAATGGTTCTTTGGGCTGCATCTGGCCTGTTGGGCACCCCATCTTATCTCACTTTCACCATTTTTAGACCAGTCTAGGTGTACTGAACTTCTGTATGCTTACAGATTTAGATTGGTCTACATTCACTTAGACCAGTCTAGGCATAGTGTTTGCATGTGCCATAATACTACTGTTTTAGAGGATGTCTGTATGTACCTGTCGTCTTCCAAATACAGACCTGAAAAAAAAAACTTTTTTAAACTTTAGCTTTTGTACAAAAGTTTTTCATTCCATACACACTCAAATACCGGTGACTGAATGACACTAAGAGGTCAAGATAATGGAGATATATTTGGTAAGTATTTGGCTCTAGTATCCATTTGCTTCTAAGGAGTTATTCTGGGAATGCCTTTTTGGCCTCAGGCATTTTAAAACATGTAATGGTACCGCTGTGATAACAGTATTTCATGTAGATGGGAAAAAAGCCATGATCCTATGTAAACTACAGAATATAACATCTGTTTAAATGAGAGAAGCCAGTCTTCTAAAATCAGTGCCTATGTTTATGTGTCCAAATCCATATTAACCCACTAACAGGAAGCAACTTGGTGTTGCAGACGTGAAAAACATTCACATATCTCACTGAAAGCTTTTAGAGCTGAAAGTAATTATTCCCTTTAAAAATTAGACCTTTTTTAGTTAAGAAATTAATTTTATAGGCTTCAAAATGTTGCCCAAGATTGCTTGAAAAAAGCAAAGAATTAATATGTGGAAAGGAATAAAGATTTTATTAGATGTTATTAGATGTATTCAATAACATAGATAATTTTGATATTTTTAAAAGTACAGCATAATGTTTACAATATGTCACAAAGGGAAAAATATTTTCAGTTTGCTGTAACAAATACATTGAAATAAAACAGTAATGGATTTTATTCCTAGATACTTCATTCCTGAAATCATATTATTTGGCATGAAAGAGGTAATTAGTGTCACTGTTTAAGAGTGACACATATGGGTTTTTTCTGAAGTTAATTTGTTATTGTAGATTAATTTTGAATTCAAAATGAAAACCTTGTCAACTGTTTTGCAAGCTGTCTGCATTTTGGACACAAGTCTTCTTTTGGGTCTGAGATATGCAGGAAATATGGATCATAAGAGCAATAAAGTATGATCATAAATGAAAACATCATTTAAAAATCTGATTACAGGACCTACTGAATTGAGAACAGTTGCTGAAATGCATTTTAACAGTTGGCTTATTAGCTTTTCCTAGAGGCACAGCACTACAGAGTGGTGTGGATGCCTAGAAACAGGATAAAGTAAACACTTTTATTAGCAATGAGAAAACAATATGAATTCTTAGCAAAGGCTCAGTGTGGTCCAAGAGAAATGATATGCAATTAAGTTCTATAACAATATATTATTTTCCATTATCAGTGCAATAAATCTAAATTGTCTTCAAAGTATGGGCGTTTCAGTGCAATAATTTTTGCTCTACATGTTGTCAATGTGTTATGGACGTGTCTTGCTTCATAGGAAGCAAACATTAAACAGAGCTAAGTATCCAAATGGTGTAATTGTGCTTAATCATGACTCTTGCTTAATGTGAAAGATGCTTCTTGTGTCTCAGGGCAGTGACTAGCACCTATGATTAGGTCTGATCTGTTCTGCTTAATGAGGCCTATTAATAATACGGTGGCATTCTTATTTCAGAAATTACCTTTCCTGTCTAATGAGGTGCAGAACCCAATCAAAACTTAACCATGCACCATTAATGAACTTTTAAATCTCTCTCAGGTGATTACAAATTCTGTGGTTCAGATGACAAAATAAAGGAAAGCAAGAAAAGAGAAAAACAAGGGGGAGCGATATCCGCAGCTTACTCCCCAGTTGCTGCTCATGAGAAGCAAGAAGCATTCACCCAGCCAGAAATCTGCTCAGAGCCTGAGAACATTCCATCAAGCCCACTGACTCTCAGGGTAAAATATCAAATGTTTTCTTTGCTAACTGTTAATTCTGGGACTGATTTTTCATGGTTGATGGTTGCTTCCTGGGAACTTGCTGGGGGCGGAAGTTCACATTTCCTTTTCTGTTCCCTGTTTCAGTAGTGTGTTTGTCACGTGCATCTGTTGTTGGACGATTCACTAGATCATCTTGCCTACAAAAGCATGCAAGGAATTGGATTCTATCTGGAATAAGTACTGTTTCCACAGTTTCAGAAGCCCAGTGGTATCATGCAAAGCAGGGTTCACAGTGATATTCTTTTAAACTGAACACTTTGGTCCTCAGACCTTTGCTGCCTTGGAGATAATTCAAACAAATCCCTAAACAATACAAGTCCAAACACAACTCTCAACCACAGTTAATTACTAGTACATGCTGGCTCCATTGTAACTTCTGAGTCCTACTCAGCAACATGTATGGCTACCCAACATGTATGGTAACCCCTAATCAAGCTCCTGTCAGACCTTAGAAACATAGGGAATTTACTGTTATTTCATTTGGTGCAGTGGCATAGGCGACTGCTACCACCTGAGTCTGGCAGGGCACCAGATCACCGACAGGGGTCCCAATCATTGACCAGGAGGGAGTCCCCCCATGGCTGATTGCTGACTGGGGCCAGTGGCAAAACCAGCGAAACAGGAAGTGCAATTCTGCCAGCACTTCTGGTTTGCAGCTGGTGCTTCCAGGGGGTGCATGGACGATCTCAGGGGCTGTGCATGCACCCATGTGCACCCCCTATGCATCACCTATGTGCAGTGGCATAGACCTACATCCTTATCAAGTCTCAGACTCATTGGTTGAGTAGCACTGATGGACCCATGTGCATGAGACATTTACTGTGGAATTGACTAATTAGCTTCACAATAAAGTCTCAGCATCTTCACATGTGGCCCTATTAGGCTGCAGTAAATTAATAAATGCTGCTCTAACACAAGTGCTATCCTGCAGCATCATTATTTAGATGCTGGGTAGACGCTGATGAGGTTGGCTGAGGCATGAAAATTCATGAAAAAGTTGGGGGGCGGCCTGCTGGCTAGACCCACACTGAAACATGCGCGTACCCCAGACCGCCCCACCACAGCACATTGAGTCAGGTCGGAGCAACCCTGGGCTGACAGGATAACTGCCAGGGCACCCTGCTAACCAGGGCTGCTATAACCTGGCTCAACGTGCTGCAGTCCTGGGTACACATGTAAATGCAATGCCCAAGAGCAATAAATTCCAGTGCAAACTGCACCAGGGTGTATTCAGGTATTTTAATTTCACATATAGAAGTGCCCAATTAGGTTCAGGCACCAGTGAAGTCACTGATTCATGCACATTTTCTTTTTGTTTTTCCTTTTTGAGATTTAAATAATGAAAAAAAAGTTTA